ACGCAATAAAAACATCTCTAAATAATTGTAGGTTACTTAGAAAAAATTATTGTGGCAATACACTAATTCCCGCTTTCTTGACAAAAAAAAATAGAGATTTGTATGGGAAAGTGATGTATTTTATTTCAGGAGAAAGAGGATATATTTTGGGAAATGGTTAAATAATGGAAAGATAAATGTTACTAAGTTTTGAGCCACCTAAGACTCATTGTTCTGGGTATACAGAATCAAATCCAAACTTGTTGAGTTTGCAACTTGGCATGACATGATTTATTAAATTTCAGAAAATGTGTTTGCTTTTAAAGGGCTTAAATTAGCATTCTTCAGACTTCAAATCCCCTGAAAGTATCATTTTAATTTTAAATTACTCAAAAAAAGGGAATTTCCCTTAATAAAAGACTTAAGCATAGTTGAAGTAGAAAACTGTCTTTGTGGGTGCCTGGGTGGCTCACTTGTTAAGTGTCTGCCTTCGGCTCAGGTGGTGATCCCAGGGTCCTGGGATCGAGCCCCGCATCGGGCTCCCTGCTCCGCAGGAAGCCTGTTTCTCCCTCTCCCACTCCCCCTGCTTGTGTTCCCTCTCTTGCTGTGTGTTTCTCTCTGTCAAATAAATAAAATATTTAAAAAAAAAGAAAATTGTCTTTGTAAATTACATACTTTGGCTTTATCACACTCCAAATATTTGCTAAACCTAGAATGACCTCTTCTAAATTAGTTTTGCTCCCATCAGTTTTAAACAACCAAAGTCATATATAAAAGAGGAAACAGAAAAAGCCATTGACACAACTCCCATTATGAACTCAAATATGCTAAGGCAGATACATTTAGACATATTTAAGAATTTCTTTGTTCTTAGAGAAACAAATCTTGGGGTGCCTGGGTGGCTCAGTTGTTAAGCGTCTGCCTTCGGCTCAGGTCATGGTACCAGGGTTCCTGTGATAGAGCTCAGGACCTGCTCCGTGGGAAGCCTGCTTCTCCCTCTCCCACCCCCCCTGCTTGTGTTCCCTCTCTCGCTCTCTCTCTGAAATAGATAAATAAAATCTTTTAAAAAAAGAAAAACAGATCTTGTGGTCATGGAAAATTGCAGGTAATCCACAATATTTAATTACATATTTTGTTCTTTGAAACTGATGTTAAACTATGATAACTGTAGTATTTGGAACATCAATTGCTTGGGAATTTGGTCTCTGAGTTAAATAGCAGAATAGTATACTGTTCTACTTACAGATTATTGTTCAATTTATGAGCTGTTGCTAGTAAATGAAATTATTTAATTAACATATACTGTAATACTAAGCATAAATATACAAAGATATGAAGCTAATTGCAACATTTTTTTTTTAAGATTTTATTTATCCATTCGACAGAGACAGGAACAGAGAGAGAGGGAACACAAGCAGAGGGAGTGGGAGAGGGAGAAGCAGGCTTCCCGCTGAGCAGGGAGCCCGATGTGGGGCTCAATCCCAGGACCCTGGGATCACAACCCAAGCCAAAGGCATACGCTCAACAACTGAGCCACCTAGGCACCCTAATTGCAACATTATATTAAGATGTTTTGTGTTTTGATCACGGTAGAGCTATAACTAACAGCTTAAATAAAAATAAGTTCCTCCAGGGGCTCCTGGGTGGCTCAGTTGGTTAAGCGACTGCCTTCGGCTCAGGTCATGATCCCGGAGTTCTGGGATCGAGTCCCACATCAGGCTCCCTGCTCAGCAAGAAGCCTGCTTCTCCCTTTGACCCTCCCTCCTCTCATGTACTCTCTCTCATTCTTGCTCTCTCAAATAAATAAATCTTTAAAAAAAAAAAATTCCTCCATAAGAAATAAAGGAATTATACTCAATGACTTGCATAATAACAAACTCTATACAAGTTAGAATGTTTCTAATTTAAACTTTATTAATATTAATAAATAACAAATTAAATAAAATTTAGCAAATATTAATATTTAGGTATCAAAGACATTTTGCCATAAATACAATACTTGAAAAATAATGCATATTTTTCACTTTTGTACATATCTATAAGAAAGCCTTTCGGGGCTAAACTATTTTTTTAAGTCTCTGGTTACTTGAAGAATTTTCCAGAATTATATTTGCTCTCTTGATGAAAAAAAATTGTGTTCTTGGTACTTCAGCACTTTTTATTTTAACCTAGAGAAAACTATCCAATACAGCTGTCTTTCAGGTCATCTTTTCTATCTTAGTGACATTTCAATAAACCAAGGAGCATATGTCCATAACCTGATTTCTTACAGGTTTCACTGCTACCTGCTAGTGGAAGTGAAAAGAAATCTCGAATCATATAATTGAGTACTATTCACTTAAAGACATTGACTCTCAAGTAATAATCACACAAAGAGGTAAAGGTTTGTTTTTTATTAACATAAGATGGTTCTCCCCATTGCATCTTTCCCTGCACACCTCCTGCTTGCTCTAATCTCCACTTTAAGGTGGACGACTATCCTGGCAATAAAATCTTTGTTCTTATCGGAAGAACAGGAAGAATGAACTAAGTCATCAAAGCACTGGAAAAGTGTGAAATAAGGTGTCTACTGTTCATGCTACGGAGAGCAACCTGATAAGCAGCCACTTGAACTTCTGGAATGATTAAACCACTTCCCGAACACAGTAATTTACTGCCTGCATTGTGAATACGATAAAGAAGTTAAGGGACCAGAAGGGCATGAGAAGGAATTATCAAAAAAAATGTTAAGGATAGACGTTCCATGGTTTCTTAAGGTATAGAGTATTTATCACAAGATATAAATTTTAAATCAGTTTCTAAGAAAAGAAGTGTCCTTAGTTTATTGGTATGGTGTGTGTGGGTGTTTAGGAACAATGGTAAGATAAATATAGTGAGGAGTCATGGGGCTTGCTTCCTAGTAGAAGTAAAAATCAGCCTCCAATGAAAGTCAAAGGAGACTGAGGGAATCACTATCAAAAGGAAAAAAAGAGCTAGAAGACCAGGTCAATCTTTAATTTAGAAAAGAGATAGGATAAATTTTATCTGACCTGTTAGCAGCCCACGTTGTTGTTATGACTGTTCTGAAGTTGGTTAGAAGTGGACAATCTCCTAGGAATTTTAGGCTATGCATTTTGCCAATACTCCTTCTTTGGTGGTACTATGAGTGTCTATTCTGTCACTTATTGATGTTATCATTGATACCAGTGATAACAATATGTGCTTTTGCAAGTTAATCTCCCTCTTAGACATTTGATATCACACTTTATTCCTGATGATAAATGCATTTGGCAAAAAACGAAACAAAACAAAAACAAACAAACAAACAAAAAGCAGGCTGCTGAATTGAGGAAATTGCAAGTTTGGTTTCAGTGTTTTTATCTATTGATAACTGAATTAAGAACTTGTCAGTTTACTTTTTATTGGTAGCAAGACGATATCCTTTATCTACTGCACCCAAAGAATGAATTTGATTTTTTTATGTTCCAAATTTTGGGAGAGGGTGAGATAATAATCTCACAATTATCCAGGATAATATAATAATATGTTTAAAAAATTTTATAGCAGCAGTCATGTCTGTTCACGTGTATAAGGAGATTCAAAATCTGGGTCAAAAACATGTTAAGTTAAACCATGCTTCTTTTGTAAACCACTGGGGGGACTTAGATAATTCAGGGAAACTTCACAAAGCCAAATTTCTTTCTCTAAGAGAATGAAACAGTATCTACTGAGTGAAATACTGAAAATATTCAGTTTACATTAAAATTTTAATTTTTCCTCTACTTTTCTTCCCCCTCCCCCAAATAATCAAATGGGTACAACTGTTAACTTGGAATCACCAGTGTTTTGATAAATAAATGGATTAGGCTTTTCAGAGCATGTACAGGAGAAAGAGTGAAAGAGGGAGAAAGAAAGGCTAAAATCAAGGTATTATTTTGTATTCTGGTATCTGCCAATTTTTAATCTTTATAATTTAATTGTGGGTGAATTCTTAAAATGAGAGGAAGAAAATGAAACCAGGAGAAAAGCAAGAACTTTGTTTCTGCATGAATATGCAAATACTAAACTCCAGAGAAAAAAATTCCTGCCCCCGATGAAATTATAGTTGGACGATTCATCAGGGAAAGGTAGTTAATTTCTGACATTTTAAAAACGAAGGTAAGTGCTTTTGCTACTGAAATATAGTAACATTTTGTTATCACAATTTATATTTCTCTCAAAAGTTTCACTCTTCCTGAATCCTATTAAACTCTTGCCAAACACTTGAGAATTTCCCACAAATTACACAATTTACATTCCACTTCTGTGGGTAATTTCTATATTTTCTAGTGCTCCTTTCCTTCCTCAGCTGCAGAGGTGAGTTAAAGTCAAGGGCTTAGGAAAAGAAAGCCAGCCTCTGAGAAGTCCAGTGGGAATGGGTATGTCTTCAGCAGAAATAAAATGATCAAACCCAAGGAGAAGAAAATGGGAGATCCAGGAGGGCCCCAGCATGATTTCAGCCCCATGAGACACTACTGGTTTCTATTTTAATAGTAAAAGCGGTGGGTAAACGTTAGTCAGACTGAAATAGTCCTGGAGCTTCTTTGGAATCCATTTACTGGAGTGAAACCCCACTCTCTCAGGGCGGCCCTCACCATGCATGCTGCTTCCGGGTTCCTTCGAGCCCCGCTCTTTAAGATAGGGAGGAAAGCTTTAGGAAGAAGTGCAAATTATCTGTGAAGATTGTTCTGGCAGCAGAATGGGTACTTTCTTTCATTTTATATTCTCCCTTATTTGCGACATTTTACTCTAATCTCCAGGAAGGAATAAAAGATGACTTAATTGTATTAAGACAACATATACTTTCCTCTATTTATAGACTTTTGTCTTAAAGAAGGAAATGTATGTGTGTTTGTATATAGATAGACAGACATATATGTGTGAATATGTATATACACACACACTTCCTTTGGTTTTTGATCTGTTAGTTCATGTAAAACATCAACAAAATATTAATGTTCTATGCCAAAAAGGTGGTAAAAAATGTGATTTATGTCTACACATTCCAAAGCATCATATTGCAGATCTTTATAAAGCATTCTAGGTTATGTCTGTACAACCTAAGCAAAGTGAACAGATATAAGCGTTTAGTGAATCTGAGTCACCTCTACTTACAAAACAGAATTTTCTCTTGCTTCAAACATCCACACATACAGGTTGGCCGCCGATTCTTGGACACTAATGCTCTATTTAGTTGGGTGTTGGGTTTACCAAAATCTGGAGAAACACAGCTTGTTTTCTGGAGAAATCTCAATACACTCTTGTGTTTGCCTGTAATTTTTATATTAATAATGGTGCAAGCAGTTGCTTCTAAAATTCTGTGCAGCTTTGGAGTTCTTAGGTTACTTAGGTGATAAAAAGTCCCATGGATGCTACTCTTTGAGTGTGGAAAAGTAGCACTCTTCCAATTGTTTGTTCGGTGAGGTATTCTCTAAATGCAAGGCTTTCTGAGTTTTTAGGTAGAGAGAGTATTCATGGTCAAATACAAGACCTCCTTATGGAAGTTTGCCTGAGCGTGCACAAGATGGAACAAATTCAGAAAGCTTCTGTCATCTTCATCACGGTCTCCTGTACGCCACACACAGGAGTGGGCCATAGGGAAAAGAAAGTGCAGGTTAAATTTTTAAATATATGATTTATTTGTTATAAAACATTCCAATTTTCCCTAATAATAGGTAACAGAAGACTAGTTAGTGGTCTTTATTTACTAAGTCAGACATTAACCACCAAAATCAGGGAACTATATAAGAGCACTGAATAAGAAGTCAGAAGAAAAGGACGCTGGTCCATGCTTTACTGCCTCTAACTCTATGATCTTGGGCAAGTCAAGTCATTTCTCTAAGCCTTAGTTTTCTCATCTGTAAAATAGGGTTGATTATCACGTTGGCTACCTAATAAAACTATACAATAATATGTGTTGAAACTAAACAATATAGGGCATTATTATGATGATTAGGATAGTTGGTAAGTGAGCAAGTGAACATTTTGCTGTGCAAAACTAGAACGAGTTCCTTTCAGAGCAGACTCTTCAACTTTAGGTTTTCCATTAAAATCCATACGAGACTTAAAAAGTAGCAAAACCAAGAGCTAAATATATCTCATGGAAAAATAAACAAAAATGTCTGCTTCTTCTATTCTTGATTTAGAAATAAAAGTCTACATGGAATTAGCTCTGTTTTGAGTGGAGGGTGGAATGCATTTTAGTCACACCTGTGCACCGTCTACACACACTCACTCACCGGACATAACTGACTGCAGCATTTCCATTATAACACATGCAAATGCATTCGCCACACTCTGCAGGAAGTTAGTTCTTTCCACGGGAGTGCTAAAGACTTTACACACTTTTTGCATCATTTTAACTGCCCAATCCATGCAGTATAGTTCTTTCTCACACACCTGATTTAGATATAAAAAGAGTAATGGTAAAGCTTCATGTGAAGAAAATTGTAGAATTTGAAAATGGTATTGACAATGATGGTTTATGACTTTACATAATTTATTACACATGACATCATATTGAGTTTATAAGTGGGAAATGCTCTTACATCGAATTCTCCTTTCCTTTCAAATGGTACAATTTTATTGGGAAAAAAGTATGATGTAAATAAAAGCTTTGTCCAAGATTATCATGTCATATTATTCATTAATGTAAGAACTAATATTGCAAATAATTGTTAAACATATCAAAAATAAGACTTCTGCTCATTCATTCATTCAGTTATTATTTATTGAGCAGATGCTAAGAGCTGGAGAAACAATGGTTAAGCCATAAAGACAGGGCCTCTATTTTCCAGGAATCCAATAAGGGTGACAAACAGGCAATTTTAATAGGCAAGAGAACTATGGTCTTATCAACTCTCCACCTTGAGAGTTGTAGGGAATATTTATCTCTCTATTATTTAAAAGATAAAATATTTAGGGACACCTAGGTGGCTCAGTTGGTTGGGCATCTGCCTTTGGCTTAGGTCATGATCCCAGGATCCTGGGATCAAGCCCTGTGTCTGGCTCTCTGCTCAGCGGGGAGTCTGCTCCTCCTTCTCCCTCCACCCCTCCCCCCCCACTTGTGCTCTCTCTCTCTCTCCTCTCTCTCGCTCACTCTCTCAAATAAATAAATAAAATCTTTAAAAAATAAAATAAAGGATAAAATATTTAAAGATTACATGTTAATAGTTAAAGTTGGCCAAAAGGAAAAAGGTTTATTAACTAACATTCTAAATGGCCAATTTAATTCACATAGCCAAATAATATACAGCATGAAAATAAACCCTATAGTAGTGTAACATTTAGTTATAATGTAAACCTGACAGGAAAGATTTGTTGACTATGTATTATGTGTAAGGCATTTTTCCAGGCACTATGAAAGAAATAAGTCACCTAGTCTGGATGTCAAAGAGCTCTCAATCTCTTCTGGGAGACGATTTACCCTACACCTAAAATGGCTTCAGAACACTAGTAGTACACTACTCGTAAACAAAAATGAAGAGAAGACAAATCTGAGGCCACTTAGAGCAAATTAATGATCAGCATTGAGATGTTCATCAGAGGTTTTCTAGGGAAGTCACCCTTAGTGACTTCCTCTTCATTCTACTTGTTATAGTGCTGCCAAAGTACCCTCCAAAAACTTAAAACTTACGTCTCTCACGTTCCTAAAACTTTTCAGCAGCTCCCTGTTAGAGGATGTGTTCAAGCCCCACAGAATGGTTGACAAAGTCCTTCCTTACCTAGCCTCTCCCTTCCTCACCTCCTTCTCTTCTGCACATTTTACTCCGGAAATAATACTGAGCGGCTTACAGTGCTACAAATATAGCCATGCAGTTCCGTCTCTCTCTCTCTGAGGCAATCTACTTAATTACTAAAATAAATATTTACATTAAGAATGTAGTTAATTTGGTAGCTTTCTTCACAGTTTCACATTTTAAGAAGAGCCACAGAGGTTTCATTCATGTTTTAAGCAGTTGGTTTGGTAAAGATTCTTGTCTCTATTCCATTGATCCATATTCCATCAATCATTCCTCACAATAGTCACCTGGAAGACTATTCTAGTGCTTTTGAAGCACTGGTTGGGGTGGCCTCTGTGATGGTAGCCAAATCAATGAGATTTCTATGTAACACGTGCAGGTACACTCTTGAATAATTTGCACACACACATACACACACACACACCCATCTCCCGGCAAACTAAACTCCTATTCATTTTTAAAAACCTATTTCTCCTGGGGCTGGGGAAGCCCTGTCTGTGCTATATTCACACAATATTGGCTCCCCTCTGCTACCCATGTTTGTATATTTTTGTACATATATTTTTGTACTTATCACACTGAATTATTTATGTATACCTTGATAGATCCTAAAAGACCTTAAGCAGCTTTTGGTCAGAAATTTGTTCCATTAATTTCCATAGTCTTAGAATCTCACACAGTGTATGGCCCATAGTAAAACACTCAATTTGTGTTAAATGAATGAATATTAAATATATTTTAATGTTTTTTGGTTTTTGGTTTTTGGTTTTTTTTTTTGAGAGAGAGAGAGAGAGTTGGGGGGGGGCAGGGCAGAAGGAGAGAGAAAATCTGAAGCAGGCTCCACATCCAGTGCAGACCCTGATGCTGGGCTCAATCTCATGTCCCTGAGATCCTGACCTCAGCCGAAATCAAGAGTCGGACACTCATCCGACTGAGCCACCGAAGGGCACCTTTAATGTTTTATTTTTTTCTTTTTTTAAGATTTTATTTATTTATTTGACAGAGAGAGAGTGAGAGCACAAGCTGGGAGACAGAGGGAGAGGGAGAAGCAGTCTCCCCGCTGAGCAGGGAGCCTGATACAGGGCTTGATCCCAAGACCCTGGGATCATGACCTAAGCTGAAGGCAGCTGCTTAACTAACTGAGCCACTCAGGCGCCCCTAATGTTTTATTTTGAAAAACATTTTAACTATACAAAAGTGGAAATAATAGTATAATGAACCTCTAATATCCATTCCCCAGCTTCAGCAATTACCAATCTTGTCTCCTACTACCATTTACTTTCACATCCTCTCCCTGCTGCCCAATGATTATTTTGAAGCAAATCATAAAAGCTGTTTTAATGGAATTAAAAAAAATATAACTCAGCAGAGCTGTATAATGAAAATATGGACATTAAGTGGGGAGAGGTTAATATAAGGAATGATTCCAAATATGATCTTATATATATTTAAAATTTTTTAAATATACATAAAATATATGCTTAAATACTTATTCTTTCAAAATGTTTTGAGCATATTTCAGTTCCTTCAGGGCAGCTCCCCGGTAGGTCAACTATAATGTTAAACAACTTGCTAGAGAAAAACTTGGTTTTTACTTACCAAAGCCAAAAAGACTATCAGCTTTGCCAGTTCAATAGCCCGTCCATTCACAGCTTTACTAGCCATGAAAGTGAAACAGATGTTGTTCCCACTTAGGATTAGGAGACGTGCATTATTCTCTAGAAGCCACTCACGGGGAACCACTTTTATTAGAGGAAGAACAGTTATTTAGTGAGAAATTACATAATAGCTCTAGTAAACATCATTAAGTACATGCAATATTGTATTACCTTATTGGAAATACAACTAGAGCCAAGGGAAAAGCACAGAAAAAGTGCTTTAGTTTTGTAATTATTGCATTCAACCAGAGATAGAGATTATTGCCAAGTTATAGTGGCTTTTACAAATGTCCTAGCAATATAGTCAGAGCATTTCTCCTACACATATATCAAAAGGCAAGGTGGTCTAATTCTGTGTAAGGAAAGAAATCTTATAAACTTTAGAATCTAAAGGATTCTGCAGGAATGGAAAAGACTGTTTTCCGTCTGCGCCAGCAGGAGAGGGCTTTCTTCTTACACAACCTAGGAGGTTGTTTGTGAGAATTTGCAAAATGGAAATAACTGAGCTATTTAAATGTGAAACTTTCAAATAATAATAAATATATATTTATTGGCAATTGGAGAAAAGGAAGTTGATTATATGCATTCTCTTCAAACATATACCAAACTCTTTAAATATTTTAGAACATTTAGTGATTTTGAATAGGCAATTCATTTGTTACCTATAGAATTATCCTTACAATTTTATAACTGTACTCTAAGAATATATTTCTACTACTCTGTGTGGTAAATATGTACTTTTACCTGATAGTTCATCTACAAGACTGATAACATCATCTGCTGTCCACTCTTTGGTGCCTGTGTCATACAGTAATTTAATAGCATCAGCCAAACCTTTCAGACTGGATTCATCTGTAGGTCCTTCTATCATTTTCTGCCAAACCACCTGTCCTGGATAATTGAAACAAAAACTAGGCTATGACAGAATAGTTGGCTTTGTAATAAAGATTTCATGGATTGTTTAAAAAGGAAACTGGATTGCATTATAGAATCCCATTTGCTTATATATGCTACTTTCATAATGAAAAGTCAATTCTGATAACAGTATAAGTGTGACTGTCTCTGACTGATGTGATGAAGTTTAACAACAATTGCTACATGAAGTAAAGAAAAGGTAGTTTTGCCAAGCAGAATAGTGCTTCTAGTTCAAAGATAATGCTATGCCTGTAACAAAAATTATAATAGGGGCGCCTGGGTGGCTCAGTCAGTTAAGTGTATGCCTTTGGGTCAGGTCATGATTGGGCTCTCTCTGCTCAGCGGGGAGCCTGCTTCTCCCTCCCCCACCCCCCCCCGGCTTATGCTTTTCTCTCTCTCTGTCAAATAAATAAATAAAATCTTTTAAAAAATTATAATAGGCAATTGATGTAATCATACTAAAATCAAATGAAATCTACTGATATCCTTCCAAAAAGAGAACATGCTGTATTTGAGTATCTTCCAAATATTAAATATATCAAAACACAGTAATCCAGTCAAGTTTTGAATATTTACCTATGACCAATTCTCTTTGTGAATTACACAAAACAAAATTTGATCCCAGATCGGCTTCCTGCTTCTACTTTAAACTGGTTACCTCCTGATATAGGCAATGTGAACCAAAGAACTGTACGCTAATTTTAACATTAATCTAAGCAAAACTTAATTAGAAAGGCAAAAAAATGCACATAACCATATTATGTACCCAAAATTAAGTAAAACATCAATTTAACTACTACTGTGCTTTACAGACACTATTATTCCCTTCCAGCAGCAAACATAATCTTGAGGTAAGATAATGTTTAGAAATGAAAAGTAGTGATTTTTAGGTATACCAGAGATGATAGGAACATATTTGGTAATGGCCTGCAGTCTTGAAGCTTAAGTTATGCATAAGCTAATGTAGTGTACGTCTATGAAATCATGAAACACAGTTTAATCATTAGGAATGAGGAAACTGAGCAGGTACAAAAAGATATGTTTCCTAAAGTAGAAGTAATTAACATTTTGTAACATACATCTCTAAAAAATGTATGCTCACCATCTTGAGGAGATATTGGTCCAAAGATGATATACAATAATCTTGCCTGATTCACCATTGGCCATGGTTTTAATATACGTGTCAACCAAAAAGCAGAATCACTTTGATGTGTCCAGTGATCAAGCAGGACGTTCCTACAGAACAGTCTGATCCTTAACTCCAGTTTTCGGGCACTTCCTATGAAAACAAAAGAATTGTAAACCATTCTTCCTAGAAAGGCTGATGTGCATATTGGATATGCACACAGTGGATATGGTCAGTGATAGACATCTGTAATATACTTTGTACTGAAAGTATTATTTCATTTTCCTCTGTAAAAATTTTAGATTATCAAGGGACTATTTTTTAAACAATTTTATTGAGATATACTTTACACACCATACAATCCAGTGGTTTAGTATATTCACAGATATGTACAGCCAGCACCAAGTCAATTTAGAACATTTTCATCACCTCAAAAAGAAATCCTGTTCTTTTAGCTATCACCCCCCATCCCTCCATTCTTTACCATCCTTAGACTTAAGCAACCAATACTCTACCTTCTGTCTCTAAAGATTTCCTTTTTCTGGACTTCATGCAAATGAAATCATATAGTATATGGTCTTTTGTGACTGGTTTCTTTCACTTAGCACGTTTTCAAGTTTCATCCATGTTATGGCATCTATCAGTACTTCCTTCATTTTTATGGCCAAATAATATTCCATTGCATAGGGGTGCCCTGGTGGCTCAGTTGGTTAAGCGACTGCCTTCAGCTCAGGTCATGATCCTGGAGTCCAGGGATCGAGTCCTGCATCGGGCTCCCTGCTCAGCGGGGAGTCTGCTTCTCCCGCTGACCCTCCCCCTCTCTGCTCTCTCTTTCTCTCTCTCAAATAAATAAATAAATAAAATTTTAAAAAAATATTCCATTGCATAGATATACCTCATTTTGTTTATCCATTCACCCACTGATAGACATTTGGGTTTTATCCACCTTTTGGCTATTACAAATAATGCTGTTATTAACATTTGTGTACCAGTTTCTGTGTGGACATATGTTTTCATTTCTCTTTCGGATATACCTAGGAGTGGAATTTCTGGGTCATATAGTAACTCTAAGTTTAGTCATTTGAGGAACTGCCAGACTGCTTTCCAAAGTGGCTGCACCATCTTACATCCTGACCAGCAATGTATGAAGGTTCCAATTTCTCCATATTTTCACCAATACTTGTTGTTATCTGACTTTTTGATTTTAGCTGTCCTAGTGGGTATGAAGTAGTACCTTGAGTTTGTCTTTTTTAACAGACTTATTGAAATATATATAATTTACATACCAAAAAATTCACTCATTTAAAGTGTATAATTCAATAGTTTACAATCTATAATATTATTGGGGTGCCTGGCTGGCTCAGTCGGAAGAGCATGTGACTCTTGAAGTTGAAGTCGTGGGTTCATGCCCCATGTCAGGTGTAGAGATTACTTAAATAAACTTAAAAAAATCTATTATATTATTAATTTTTAAAAATTGTGGTAAATATATTTACTTATACATATATAGATATATATAACACAAAGTTTGCCATCTTAATCATTTTTTTAAAGATTTTATTTATTTATTTGAGAGAGAGAGAATGAGAGATAGAGAGCACCAGAGGGAAGAGGGTCAGAGGGAGAAGCAGACTCTCTGCTGAGCAGGGAGCCCGATGCGGGACTCAATCCCGGGACTCCAGGATCATGACCTGAGCCGAAGGCAGTCGCCTAACCAACTGAGCCACCCAGGCGCCCCCCATCTTAATCATTTTTAAAGTGAACAATACAGTAGCATCACTTAATTCACAATGCTGTTCAACCATCACAACTGTTTATTTCCAAAACTCTTTATCACCTCAAACAGAAACTCTATAACCATTAAGCAATAACTCCCCATTTCCCTCTGCCCCCTGTTCCTGATAACCTCAAATCTGTGTTCTGTTTTTATGAATTTGCCTGTCTGAGGTACCTCAGTTAAGTGGAATCACAATATTTGTCCTTTGTTGTCTGACTTACTTCACTTAGCATGTTTTCCAAGTTCATCCATTTTAGCATGCGTCAAAGCTTCATTCCTTTTTACAGCTGAAAAATATTCCATTGTATGAAGAGACCACATTTTGTTTATCCATTCATCTATTCATTGATGAACACCTGGGTTGTTCCCACTTTTTGGCTATTGCGAATAATGCTGCAGTGAACACTGGCATATAAGTATCTTTCCAAGCCCCTCTCTCAACTCCCTTAGGAATAGCTAGGAGTGGAATTGCTCGGTCATATGATAGTTCTATGTTTAGCTTTTTGAGAAATGGTCAAGTTGTTTTCCATAGTGGTGGCAACCATTTTACATTTTTATACCATTTATGTTCTACTTACTTGTAGATAAGACAAGAGTAAACAGAAAGTCCACCAATGATCTTAGACCATAGGAAGTAAGTACCCCTTGATGTAGTAAGCCAAGTAACACAGCATCAGGAAAGCCTTTACAGAGGAAGTCTGGCAAATTGGGTCTTAAAAGATGAAGAGAGATGGTATTTTAGAAAAAAAAAAAAAGAGAGCGTGAATAAAAGATATGAGGTAGAAATGTGTAAGAGATATGTGAGACAGTGAGGGAAGTGATCAAGACTACTCTATGTCAAACTGATACAGAGAACAGTGGGGAATAAATCTGAAAAAGTAGATTGGGATGAGAATGTGAAGGCCAGTATGAACAGTTTGGACTTTATTTTGATGACATTGGGGAGCCAATAAAAGGTTTGGATCCAGGGAGGGACATGATAAATTAATCTTGTTATTGTTTCATTGGGCTTCTAATCTGCCTTTCTGATCCAAAATTTGTTTCATAATGAAATACCTCAAGCTGTCAGAAAAGAAGAGATACTGTAACAAATATTGTGTACCACTTAGCTTTGTCAAAGCTTTACTTTTTGCTATATTTGCTTCAGATTTTTAAAAAAATAAACAAAACATAGGTAGGGTCTATATAGCTTCTTGTATATCACTCCCAATCCTCTTCCCCTTCATCCTTAGAGGTAATCACCATCTTGAATTTGGGTTTTGACCCTCTTGTACTAGTCAGGGTTCTCCAGAAAAATAGAACAAACAGGATGTGTATATATACATGGAGAAAAATTTGTTTTGAGGAATTAGCTCACAAGACTGTGGAGGCTTGGCAATCCAAAATCTGCGGGTATGCTGGCAGACCAGAGACCAGAGAAGAGTTTCAGTTCAAATCCAAAGGCAGTCTGCTGGTAGAATTTTTTCTTGCTTGGGAGATCAGTCTTTATCTGTTAAGGCCTTCAAGTGATTGATGAGACCTACCCATGTTATGGAGGGTAATCTGCTTTACTTAAAGTTTACTGATTTAAATGTTAATCTCATCTAAGACATAACTTCAGAGAAACATCTAGAATAAAGTTTGATCAAATATCTGGGTACTGTGGCCCAGCCAAGTTGACATACAAACTTAACTATCACATCTCCCAACTATATTCTTACATTTTTTACTATATGTATATTAACCATAAAGAATAGATAGAATTATTTTACATGTTTTTAATTGGTATATAAATAGTATCATGTGGAAAATATCCTTTGGTTACCTTTTTCTCAACTTACATTTTGAGATTTATCCATATTAATACATGTGGCTTTAGTTCATTCATTTTAACTACAATGGTTTTAACTGTATGGATACTTAATTCATTTATCCATTCTCCTGATGATGGGCATTTATTTAGATTGTTTGCAGTTTTTCATGGTTGGTTACATGCTGTAATGCTCATTCTTATACAGGTCTCCTTATGAACTGTGGAAGTATCTCAGAGTGAAATTGCTAGATTGTAGGATTCCATAATTTTAAAAATATGAAGTATTTCATATATATATGTGTGTATATATATATATATATATATATAAAGGCTTAAAGAATACTATAATGAACACCTTTGTATCCTCCATCCAGTCTTAATTAATAAAATATTATTAATACAGCTGAGCCCTCTGAATACTTCTTTCTCTAATCACATGCCATGTTTGCCTCACAATCTAATTCAGTGTTTATCATCCCCTTAAATTTCTTTGTCCTTTTACTACATATGGATGTCATAATTTTCTTTTAAATATACTTTTGAACTCTGCTTTTTTTCTATTTTAATATCTGTATAATATTATCTGTGAATTGTAGTTTTTTTACCTGGTTTGCTGCAGACAGCGGTCTGCATCTTGCGGGAGAGATTAGTCAGCTCACATAAGAAGTTATATACACGATGGCACTCGAGTTCATCCCAACCTGCTGTTAAGGTCTGAGAATAATAAAATAAAGGAAACATTACAGATGTTCAGACCATCAAATCAAAATGTAAGTCACTGCTAGCTTGTGAGCATAACTGCTGTAGCACATGATTGAGGTGATGTGCAATTTTTACCCATTATGGAATGTTCAAATTAATAAGAAAATTTACATAAACAAATCCTAGAAATGCTCCAAAATCCAGTTTCTTTTTGGTTGTAAAGGGAATATCCTTTCAAATGGTACCAAATCCTGAGCTCTGACAGTATAGATAAAGTAACAAAGGCCAAAATCCTTAGATATCTGACTCACAGCCATTCTGTGGTTTAGTTTTCAACAGAATCCCTTTGAGTTCCTCTAATTATCATTTATGATATTGCTTACAAATGATAATGATCCCATCTTAATGTGACGATTATGAGCATTTACTAATAACATTTTGATGTGAACGAGCAAAAATTTTTTATTAGGACAAAGTTTCATAATTATCTTTGAGCCAACCAGAGTGTACAGTTAAACATACAGGAAAAGGAAATTCAAATGGTACGCTACTCTAGTTAGATTTTGAAAAGGTTGATTAATCATATAAATTTTTCTTAAAACAGTTGAACTGGATTTTAGTAGTTTAAGAATTAATCTCATTCTCTGTGGAAGGACATAGAAGAAACTGCTAACAACAGTTACTTCTGTTGAAGTCAACTCGGTGGACCAGGGACAGGCCTTGATGGTAGAGTTACTTTTCATTTTATAAAGTTTGTACCTTTTGAATTTTATATAAATATATGTTTATATTACCTGTCCTTCCTCCCCCAAAAGCAAAAATCTATCTTAGAAGAGGGATGGTAGGAAGGCAAAAATGTACCTTTAAAAACATGCCATAACATGGTAATCCTAAACATTGGATAGGAGCTGCACAGCCATTGAATTTAAAACAGGAAACCTGTAAAGAGAACAACTATTAATTTCTCTTTTTCAATGGAACTGTACAATGACTGGACATTGAAATTTAATGGAAATATGCAAGAATTTTTCAGTATTAATTGAAAATAACTAAAATGCGGGGCACCTGGGTGGCTCAGTTGGTTAAGCGACTGCGTTCGGCTCAGGTCATGATCCTGGAGTCCCGGGATCGAGTCCCGCATCGGGCTCCCTGCTCAGCGGGGGGTCTGCTTCTCCCTCTGACCCTCCCCCCTCTCATATGCTCTCTCTCTCTCATTCTCACTCTCTCAAAATAAATAAATAAATCTTTAAAAAAAAGAAAATAAAATGCTAAATAATTAGCATTGTGTTACATAGGTAAGATCACAAAAGAAATATGAGTCTATCTTAAAGGAGTTCATAAATACATGCACGTGAAATTATTTTGATAATTCAGGTTAGAATATACATAAATGTTAAAATGACTAAATATACACTATATCAGATACTGTGAAAACAGAAACAAGACAAATTTGGGAATGATCAAAACAGCTTCTGAAGCATGTGAAAAAAGCAGTCTTGAAGTAGGATTCAAATATAAGGAATGAGAGGTGCCTCTGTGGCTCAGTCATTAAGCATCTGCCTTGGGCTCAGATCATGATCTCAGGGTCCTGGGATCAAGCCCTGCATCAGGCTCCCTGCTCGGCAGGAAGCCTGCTTCTCCCTCTCCCATTCCCCCTGTTTGTGTTCCCTCTTTTGCTGTGCCTCTGTCAAATAAATAAAATCTTTTTTAAAAAAATATATAAGGAGGGCGCCTGGGTGGCTCAGATGGTTAGGCGTCTGCCTTCGGCTCAGGTCATGATCCCAGGGTCCTGGGATCGAGTCCCGCATCGGGCTCCCTGCTCCTTGGGAGCCTGCTTCTCCCTCTGCCTCTCTCTCTCTCTCTGTCTCTCATGAATAAATAAATAAAATCTTTAAAAATATATATATAAGGAATGAAAAAGATAGGAAAGATAGGTGAGGGGAACAATAAGGACAAAATTGTAGAGTGGTAGGAATAAAAAGCTTTATGTGGGAAGAAAGATATGACATGCTTCACTGGGCTCAATGTAGTAGGGAGTAAGGTTGCATTGTCAGGAAGAGCCCTAAATACCAGCTATAGACTTTGGACCTTATCTTGCTGAAATTGAGTAGCTACTGAAAGATTTTTAAGTAAGAAAATTAACTCAATGAAAGGGATGCTTTAGGAAGAATAACCTTGATTCAGCATACAGAATGTCTTGGGAAGTAAAGAAATAGATGGCAGAAAGATCATCTGAGAAGCTGCTATAATAATATAGACCTGAACTCAGTGCAAATACTGACATGAAAAAAAGCTAATGCATCAGAAACAGTTTGCATACTACTGAGTGTAGAACTGAACCATCAGTGTTGGATGTATGTTTGAGTTTGTATAGTGAAACTCAAAACTTATACAGAGATTACGCCTAAACACATGGATACACATTCAAGTCATAAATCATCATAAACATTTTATTTTATTTTTAAAATGTTTTAAAGATTTATTTATTTTAGAGAGAGAGAGAGTGTGCGTGTGTGCGTGTGTGCGTGGGAGGGTAGAGGGAGAGGGAGAGAGAATCTCAAGCAGACTCCCCGTTGAGCGCCAAGCCTGACACAGAGCTCAGTCCCACGACCCTGCGATCATGACCTGAGCTGAAACCAAGAGTCAGACGCTTAACCAACTGAGCCAACCAGACACTCTCAAAAGTTTTGTTATTTTAATATTAAAAATACTTTCCTATGTTTTCATACATTTATAAACAGTAAATTAACATTCAGAAATTATTTCATTTTAATAAAATATCTAAATCACTTTAAAACAGCCTCAGGACTCTCAATGTAGGAAAAAAATACTTTTATACTCTGATAAATCTAATAAACTTGAATGATATTCTTAGGTATACATAAAAATTGTTTTATGATAAGTAAAAGACTACTACATTTTGGTGTTTTATAATCTCTGGGTACTTGGTATAGTATTAGATTATCATCAATCAATTATTAGTACTAATTCATGAAATTCTAATAATTGAAGATGGATCTAAAATGAGTGTAAGATATTAATAAAAAATATCTTTACTAGAAATCAAGACTGTGAACCAACTGAGAAGTGTGATCTTACTTCTGCCAGTATCTTGTGAATGTACTTTAGTCTTTCCCTTGTGGGTAGCAGCAACGTACATCTTTTAAATAGCAGACCTGAGAATGTAAAGAGACACATGAAAAAAATGACAATACAATTAATGGAAGAGTGCCTGTAAAGCACAGCATAACATTTCCTTGAAAGTCAAGTATGGTAAATCACAGTGGACTGTGAGCTGATATGGTTCTGAAGAGGAAGTTTGGGAGCAAGGGTACCAGACACTTACAATATATGGTGTTTACCAAGTAACTGTGATGTCCACTAAGTGGTATAAAATCTTACGAAAATGATGAAATTGATATTATAAGACAGATATTGAAAGTATTTAGATTAAAAAAGATATAACAGACACAAAGATACACTAGTGGAACTGTATCTTTATTCTATAGAAAACAGATTCCAATATTTCTTAAAATTAACATGTTCACAAAGGAACATGCTTTAAGAGTTATTAATGTAAAACATGGAAAGAATGAGAAAAGCGATTTTGTATTCCTTTCTCCATATAAAATTTTTTAAAAATCATAAGTACTTAAAATTTCAGAGGTTAGAAGTTATTTTCACTCATAGAGAGTATCCAGTTTGGATGCAATATCCATTTCTTCCTTCAAAGATATCCTTTTATGGGGCATACATGTTAAGAATGTATAGAATTTTGTGTTCAGATATTTTAAAAAAGAAAAAAAAACCAGTGTGACATATAACTTGAACTACAGTGACAGAAGTGTATGATTTGTTTCCTCTAACTTCATGTGTTCTGTTTTCCTAAAATGGCAATACATTGTTAACATTCCTATAAGGGCAATGTTTCCCTTACACTAAAAATAAGATATATGGTAGGAAAATAAATACCTGAATATCATGAATTTCTCCATTTTTATCTTCTCTGCATTTACTCTTTTTTTTTAACATATATGATAGCTGCTTTATATAATTCTGTAGCATCTATGGGAATCCAATTTATTTTTAGAAGTTGCTATGTTTGGACAACGCATGACCAGAATTGAGTTCGAAATATAAACCCGCCTTATTTTTGTACATAAAAAGACATTTTCAGTGTTTGGTTTTTAAGCTAAGTTCTTTCCCTTTCATGTTTTGGCATCCAGTCCCATGGCAGATCATAGCTGGGGAAGTGTAAGCTATAATTGTATGCTGGTTGCTTTTTCTAATGTAAAACTCCTATTTTTAAGGATTGCAATTTACCATAAAAACCAATACTGGCTGACTTATTTATTTTTTTAACACAGGTGCTCTGCTATACCCTTTAGAGACCAACTTTTAAAATTTCTTCCTACTAAAATAGAGTCAGATGTAATGTTCTTTTCACACTGGCCATCTGCGCTGTCTTGTATGAAGAAGCAAATTAAAATTTTTAATCTTCAGAGCACAGAATTCTGAAAATGTTATTTTAATGTCTGAAAACAGGAACGGATCAGATAGGAATGGCAACATGAGAAAATGGTAAGTACATCAAACATTTACCTAAAGATTCAGTCATAAGCCAGGTGTCTGCACCAAAACTAAATGGAAGGTTGAAATCATTACATGAATAAAACTGTTTTTGAAAGCTGGCTATTAAGATCAATGCATATTTGTATTTTTCACTGAATTATCCATATAATTATCTTAATGCTTTTTTGCTTCTTTGAGCGACTGAGTCTTGGTCAGGGAGAAAAAAAAATTCTTTCAGATCAAAACCAAAAAATAAGCTCTTTTACTGTACCACTTATTCTGCAACTAAGGATGTTTGAAAAAAGATATTTACAATGACATGTAGCAAAAAGTCATTGCTATATTCTGTTACAGGCTTTACTAAGTCTAATCACAAATACTGAAACCAATAACACTGTAATCAGATTACATACCTTTCATTTAATCTTATTAATCTAAATATAATAGTAATTTTATTAATATTATCAAATATACTTTTATGTATTTACATATGGATATAGTCTTATTTTATTATCTTAAAGCTAGGCATCGTTGGGCTACTAAAAGGTAATAATTATTTAACTTAACTATTATGCCTTTATTTAAAAATTGAAAACATCACCTTAATTTTTGGTTTTATTGCCACGCTTTGGTTAATTATAAGGTAGTTTCATAATTAAACTGGTGCCACTAGTCAAGTCAAAATTAGAATTTTATTTCAGCATAAAATTAGAATCTTATTTCAGCACATCAATGAATGGGGTGAAAGACATAGATGATTATAAATCAAGGGAAGAGATTATATGGAATTTCCTTTGATAATTTATTATAGCATAATGATTTATTAGTAAATGTATGGAGTACTTAAGAAAAACACATTGTTTCTGATAAAATAGGTGATCTTCCACAATAATGTGTTTACATTTCTTTTCTATTTTAAGGACTAGATTATGGTTGAAAGAGAAAAGAAGTTTAGAAATAAAACTCATTAGATCCACAGGAAGTAAAAGCATTGAAAATACATCAATTTCACTGGTAAGCCACCTAGACAATAAGCAAAGGTGACATTGTATGCACATGAATCACAAGGACTGATACTTTACATTAAAGTGCATTCTCTCATCTTTAAAGATACGTATAAGGGACTATTATGGGAAAGTCTTCACACTGAAGAATAAAAGCATCATAGAAATAGACACATTTTAAGAAATATCCCATTTCCCACAGGCCTTACAGAATTGTTTAATAAAATCCCCTTAATTAAGTGTAGTTCTTTACTTGTTACAATTCTCATTACATAAATTACCTAGAGATCTGTAATGTTCCAGTATGGCAGAGTCTTGTCTCTTGCTAGGCAGCTCAAGGTTATGAAAATCCTGTAGTAAAAGTCTTTTGCTTCCTGACGAGGTTGAAATATAATTAATAATGTGCTGGCTGACTGTTTTGGACACCATGCTTAGCATGCTGATATCCTTCACTACCAAGAGAAATATATATACATATATATATATAAATAGCTTAATTACAAGAACATCATTATTATTACAATCTATTAACTTATAAGTTAGCTCATTAATAATATACTAAATAATAAAATATATAAATAAGTGGGGGAAAGGGGGAAAATCTTAAAATTGTTTTAAATCTCCTGTTCAATGAATTGGAAATATTTAGGGATGTAACAGTCAAGTTACCATGTTGTTATAATTAGAAGCATGCTTTAAAGAGTTTGAGTGTCATACTTTCTTTATTGTACCTCTTACCTAACAATGATGAAACCTTTAGAAAATAAACATAATGTAAATAACCATTAATATTCTAGCAGAGCCTAAGATGACAAACTAGTTCTTGAGGGGGGAAAAAATATTCAAGTGTTTATATAGCCTACTCATAGTTCCCAGACCTCACCTGACAAATATCTTAAGATTATCTGGAATATTTCCAATGGCAAGGCTTTAAAATTTCCAAGCGTTGATAAGGGCTGAGAATCTGAGTCAAGGGTGTTGGAAAAATAGCTGCTGGATAGACGATTACTACGTCTATATTTCTGGTTGGGAATCAAAGTGAAACTGGTATTTATTCTAGATGCCATCCTTTTCTTATCGCATGAATTTATCCTGGTTAGAAAAATAAAACACAAGAGACAAAGGAGAAAGGAAATTATAGAAACAAAGAGCTGTTTTTTAAAATGAAGAAGTTGATACTTTGATGGGCAATAGCTGTCTATCTATTTACAAAACTTTAAGTGATCTCTACCCCTATCGTGGGGCTCAAACTTATGACCCCAAGATCAAGAGTCACATGCTCTACTGACTCAGTCAACCAGGCACCCCTCTATTTACAAAACTTTTAATATAATGTCCAATTTACGGAGTTCCCACCAATAAGTGTATTTATTCATCTCACATGATATTAAATGTTTAAAAGTCTTTTCCCTCTTAGCCAAATATTCTAGATAAAGAATTTTAGTAGAATAAGAGACATGTATTTGGATGAGATATAGTCTAAGAAAATATGCAAAATCTTTAAAACGTAAAAGATTTGACACAAAAAACCAATATAACAAATTCAAAACATTCAAGATCTGTGATTAGTATGTTGCTTTTATAATCTTTACCTTCTAAAAAAAATCAAAATATCAATGTACCTTTAAAATTTTGTAGTAAAGTTTTTCTATTTCTTTAAAACTGAGTACTGACATTTTCTTTGTTGGAAACGGTAAAAATAGAGATAAGAAATAGAAATTCTAAGTTTAGAGCTTTTAAAATTTATGAGTTCTAAAAGATTAAGAAGATTGCAATGCTATTACCAATTATGTGCTGTGCTGTATAACACAAACAGTAAAGTCTTGTAAAATTAAAAAGACTAGAATAAATAAATGAACAATGATTTTCATCCTAATTCCACTTTTGCTTACTTATAAGTCTTAGGAAGGGCCTACACAACTTGATTTTGAAGTGAACATTTCTTAGACAGAACTTATTAAAATCACTGATAATTTACTTACACCAAAAAATAATTCTTAAAAAAATATTCATAATAGGCAGTGACTTTGTCACTATTGCTCCAATTCAGAAAACATTGTCTTTTGTATATATACAAGTACATGTACATGTACATATACATAACTACAACTCCAATCTAAGGCTCCCTGTTTCTGAAGTAACAACTAAGACATTTCATCAAAGAGTTACAAATATATCTGACCCAAATCCATTTTCTCCATTTGTCACAAACTTGCTAAAATCACATTGTTACTTACTCATCTAAAAGGTTACATATCAACTTAAAAGTAGTTATACATTCAAAAACATGGCCAAGAAATTTAGTTCTTAGTGAAAAACACACTGTGAACCTCCTTTAAAACCATACCATAGCACTTTGCTTTAGCATTCCATGAGCACTTAAATTAGAAGCTATTTAAAAAATAATCAGTAAAATTACACAAGTAACATATTGCATGTCAAAAAGTTTATAAAATACAGCAAAACAAAGACAATTAAATTCACTTATAAACACTTTGGTTTATATCATTTCAGAATCATATATATATATACAACCATATAGAGAATATATATATATACTAACAAAAAAAGATCACTGTTCATACTATTTTGTAATCTGCTTTTTTCAACTGTAATTGTAAGTAAAACTAATTTCTTTCCATGCCAATAGATACTTCTACAAGTATATATATATATTTTTTTAATTTTTTTATTGTTATGTTAATCACCATATATTACAAGTATATCTATTTTAAAGGCTGCATGTAAGTCCACCAAATGGAAGAATGCTGATTTATTTAATCCATGAGGTTGTTTTTAACTTTTCACAGTAGGCACTTTAAAGCATTTTCATTGTAATAAAATTTTAAATCTGGCCTAGGATTTGTCCTGTCTCTGAGGAACGTGTAAAGTGAGACTTGGGTGTGGGCTCTTCACAGACTCACTGACACCTGGGACCCAGGGGACTTCAGTGTTCAACCAATGAGTGTGTATATTTAAACCACCGCGAATTAAAACGCATTGGGCCCATTCTTTTAACACCGAAGTCTCCTCTTATAATTCCTTATTTTTCTCACTCAGACCTGGACGCTTTGGGGGGAATGCAGGCTTTTCTGAAAATCCTGAAGGTGTAATCCCAAACTATTTCGGGTTTTCTCCCACCTTCCCCCAAGAGAACGAGAATCACTGACCAAAATAATAGTAATAAAATGTTTCCATGCCTCCGTTCCACACCACTCGTTACTGACTGTGAAAGGCTTTGAGGGCCTTCTTGGCTGAATTCCGCCCCCCCGGCCCCCCCTTTCAGAGAAAACCGTCCAACAGCAATTCACCGCGATTTCTATTTTGTTTCAACCTAAGAAAACCCTTAGAAGAGACCCACATCTGCTCGGGTATTGGCCCCAAACACCTCCAGAGAAGTAAACCAGGGACACCACAAAGCATAAACTGGCCGATATAAGACTCCAACCACATGGTGATGCATTTTTTACCCCCTTCAGTCCATGAAAAGATGAAACTATCTCAAGAAAGTACTGGGGAAAAAAATCTCTTTTTACCACAGATTTTGACAGTTTTCCGGCTAAGGAATCACAGGCAAATGGGATTTAGTTGTTCTGCCCTACCATCCTCAAATTTCTTAATGTTTAAAAAAGAAAGTATCTCCTCAAGGTTTTCCCGCCGGCTTGAGAGCGGGACCAGCTCCGGTCGGATCCGGAGCTGCGTTAGCGCCTCCCAGGCGCCCCCGTAGCCTCAAGAATATTTTAGAATCCTCCCAGGAGCCCCAGCGGGAAAGAAGCCCCGCCTCCTCGTGAAAAGCAAGACCCCCCCTCCCCCGTTCCCATAGTGCCCTCCTCCCTCATGAATATTTTAGAACCCTCTCAGGAGCCCCCACAGGAAGGAGACTCCGCCTCCTCATGAATAGTAAAATTCTCGGCACCCAATAGTGCCCCCTAGACCCTGAATAATTAACGAGGATGAGGTCCTCGGAGCCCAAACGGAGCCTGAGCTGAAGACAGGAAGGGGTGGAGCCGTTAGAGTCTGGGGGAGGGGAGGGTGCAAAGGAAGAGCCCCAACCTGGCGCGCCAGGGATGTGTTCCAAACCACTTCATTTCCCTTTCAACCTAATTTTGAGCCCATTTTTTGTTCCCCCTGCCCCCACCCCAGAAGGGTAAGTTACAAGAGCTTTCATCAAAACTAATGTTGGAAGAAACCTCCAAACATTCCTTTTTAAAACCTATCTGGGTTCCTAGAATCAGACAAGGATTTGTGCCTCCAGCCTTCCAAGATGGAGCGCAAGACAGAACTTACTAGCTTGGCCCTCTTCCCTCGAAGATGAAGTTCTCATTCATTTATTCATTCATTCACTAGCTATTTATTAAAGCCTGCTCTGGGCCAGTTACTGGAGCAGGCCCTAAGGATACAACAGAGAACAAGACACATATATTTTCCGGCCTTAATGGAGCTTATTAGTCTAATGGGAAAGATAGCATAAACAGTGTTATGGAGGAAATAAGGCAACAGAAAATAAGATGGTATGGGGGGTGCCTACTTTAAAAGGACTGGTCGGGAAGGGCCCTTTAAGGAGGTTACACTTCATTTGAGAACTAGTGGAGGAGAAGGAACCAGTCAGGAAAAGGGCTTGGGGCAAAGGGAACAGCAGGAAAGATTTGGGTACATTGTAGGGATTTGTAAGGCTGCCTGGCTGAGTTTAGTGAGAAAGTAGGAGAGTAGCATCATGGAGACCATGGAGAGGTAGGCACAGATGGGGTACGCAGGACCCTATATAAAGGCCTTAAAAGAGGCTCATTTTAGAACCCCTGTAGGCTCTATATCCTTGAGCTTTCAGGGACCCACTCCACTTTATACCCACATCCTTTATTAAAATAAAATACATAAATGACTACACAACGATTGATTTTACATTTAGGATTAGTTGACATATTGTTATATTATGTAGTCACAAACATTGATTAATTTTGACTTTGTAGTTTTTGGAGCTAGTTCTTTTTTTTCCCTATCTCAAACATTTTTTATAGCTTCATGAAGATCTCAGCCCCTAGGCAGTGGGCCAGGAGTACCTAATGGATATAAAGATTCTGAGTGGTGAGCAGTTTACATTTTATTCAAAGTGTCATGGAAAGTCATGGAGGAGTTTTAAGCAGAGAGTGATATAACCTGATTTATATCACTGAAAGATTTCTCTGGCTTTTATGTGGAGAATAAATGAGGCTGGTAGAAATAGAAGAGGGGAGATCTGTTAGGATGTTGTTGCCTGACTAGAGTAGTGGCCCTGGAGAGATAGGTTTGAGATATATTTTGGGTATAGAAGTAACTGAATTTGCTGATGTATTAGACATTGGTGGGAGAGAAAGGAAGAAGATATGAATGATTCCCAGGCTTCTGATTTTAATGAGTGGGTGGATGTAAATCCCATTTACTAAGATACGCAAGTGGGGAGGAGTGTTTCTAGCAGAAAATGAAGAGTTTAATTTTGCAGATAGTAAATTTGATGTGTCTAGGAAACATCCAAGTAGAGCTATCACGAAAGTAGTTATCTGGAGGTTGGAAGAAAAACTCTGGGCTGGAGATAATACATTTATGGACATTCAAAGATTGGGAAAAGTAAGACAAGTTCTTAGAGGAATTCAAAAAGGAGGCTCTGGCGAGTAAACTGCCGAAAGCCAGGAGAGAATGGAGTCGTGGAGGCTGGAAATGGAGTGCTTCAAGAATGAGGCATGGTCAGGGGCCGCCGCCATGTCTCTAGTGATCCCTGAGAAGTTCCAGCACATTTTGCGAGTACTCAACACCAATATCGATGGGCGGCGGAAAATAGCCTTTGCCATCACTGCAATTAAGGGTGTGGGGCGAAGATATGCTCATGTAGTGTTGAGGAAAGCAGACATCGATCTCACCAAAAGGGCCGGAGAGCTCACTGAGGATGAGGTGGAACGTGTGATCACCATTATGCAGAATCCTCACCAGTATAAGATCCCAGACTGGTTTTTGAACAGACAAAAGGACGTGAAGGATGGAAAGTACAGCCAGGTCCTGGCCAATGGCCTGGACAACAAACTTCGTGAAGACCTGGAGAGACTGAAGAAAATTAGGGCCCACAGAGGGCTGCGCCACTTCTGGGGACTTCGTGTCCGAGGCCAGCACACCAAGACCACAGGGCGCCGTGGCCGCACCGTGGGTGTGTCCAAGAAGAAATAAATTTGTAGGCCTTGTCTGTTAATAAAATAGTTTATACACATAAAAAAAAAAAAAAAAAGAATGAGGCATGGTCAGTAGTGCCGAGTGCTGCTGAGTTCCACAAGGTGTCTGTTAGATGAATACTACCGGTGCCCACTGGATTGGCAATCCACTTGAGGGTAGAAGTACTTTGGGTCCACGTTGTCATTTCCCATCTCAAGAATGTACAGTTACTTTGTCTTGCCAGCCACATCACACTCAAATCTCTGCCATTTCTTCAGTGTTCTCTATCATCTCTTTCCCTCTACTTGTTCATTCATTTGTTATATTTGATCCAAGTCTACTTTCTGCCATGCCCAGTGGTAACTGCAGGGTAAGTACAGTTTCTGCCTTCTAGTAGCTAAGGGTCACAAGCACCTGACCTGGACTAACATGTATTCTGTTCCTTCCCAAGGAGACAGACCTGCTACTCCTTGGGGATGAGGGGTCGGGAGAATGGATGGGGGAGGTATCTCCTTAGCAGATTTACGCCTACCTCCTTGTGTTGAAACTTCCATCAGAAATGATTTACCAGGGCGCCTGGGTGGCTCAGTTTGTTAAGCGACTGCCTTCGGCTCAGGTCATGATCCTGGAGTCCCGGAATTGAGTCCCACATCGGGCTCCCTGCTCAGCGAGGAGCCTGCTTCTCCCTCTGGCCCTCCCCCCTCTCATGTGCTCTCTCTCTCTCTCTCTCATTCTCACTCTCTCAAAATAAATAATCTTTAAAAAAAAAAAATGATTTACCAGGGTGCCTGGCTGGCTCAGTCAGTAGAGCATGCGACCCTTGATCTCAAGGTTGTGAGTTCCAGCCCCACGTTGGGTATAGAGATTACTAAAAGAAAAAATAAATAAACTTAAAGAAAATTATTTCCCTCCTTTCTAAATCTTCCCCCAGGTCCTGCTTTAAGAGTCACACCTTGCATGTAGCTTGTTTCTTCAATAAGTATGCTTTCCCTCCTAAACGACACTGTGAACTCTTTAAGATGCCTTATATCTCTTTTATATCCTTCATATATGGAAGAACAACAGATACAGGGATGGATCTATCATGAGCCAACTGAAATTTAAGCTTCAGGGCCTCCTACTTGGACAGACCCCTTCCAAGGCCCTGCACTTAATTTTGTAGTCATAAAGAGCAGGGGAACATTGAGTACATGTTTGCTGATGGACTCCAAATTAACTAACTTTGAATATTTATTGATTTATTAAGCTTGTTTTATTCATTGGGATTTATATGAAGATTTTAGTTACTGATTATATCATTCCCTTTCCCAAAAGCCTTCAATGGCTCCTTATTGCCTCTAATTAAGTAGAAGCTTCTCAACCTGGCTTTCAAGGCCTGTCTCAATATGGCTGAATTTTATGTCTCCAGGTAACTCCTCAAACTCTCCTTACTTCCCCAACACTGACCCCCTTGCTGTCACCCTGGTGGTGTGGTTCATGCTGATTTCTCTGCTCAGAAATCTTCCTCTTCAAACTCTACCTTTTGACATCCTAACTTTAGACCATTGCTTCTGGAAGAGGAGACCCAGGACCAACAGCCTGACCTGAGAGCTTGTTGGAAATGCAGAATCTCAGACCCTGCTCCAGGCCTCCCAAATCAGAACCAATGCATGTTAAAATGCATTAACAAAATCCACAGTCAAGTTTGAGGTATATGGACTTAGGCCATTTCCCAGGCTACTTCCTCTAAGCATCTTAAACCTTTAAAAATCCCTACAATGAGAAATGTTTTTCCTCTTTTGAAACTTCTTCATTCTGGACTGCTCTAAAGGCGCTTCATTCTGCCTTGACTCATGGTTAATTATTTACAGGTCTTGGTTATCCTGTTCTTCCGTGAGTCTTTGAAAGCACTAGCAATGGAGTCTCAACTTAGAGATGAGTTAGTTCACTTGGTATTTCCTCTCTGCTTCTGCTACAATCCCATACACACACGTACACCCACCCAAACTTAGATGGTGCTGTAGCTGTTTTACTTGATACTCAGAATCTTGCAAGGATCCAAATATAAATTGACTCCCAGATGTGCCACGTGTGGGCAGGGAGATGGGTTGCAATTATTTTTATTTAAGAAAATGAGCATCTGGGCGCCTGGGTGGCTCAGTTGGTTAAGCGACTGCCTTCAGCTCAGGTCATGATCCTGGAGTCCCGGGATCGAGTCCCATATCGGGCTCCCTGCTCGGCAGGGAGTCTGCTTCTCCCTCTGACCCTCTTCCCTCTCGTGCTCTCTATCTCTCATTCTCTCTCTCAAATAAATAAATAAAATCTTTAAAAAAAAAGGAAACGAGCATCTCACTAGTATGTCACAAAAGTCTTGAATATCATTCCCTTTACCTTTGGTTGATACTGTGTGATAAAATTATATCTTCACCCCTGAATTTCAGAGTAGGGGGAAAACTGGC